ATCGATTAATAAATATACTTGCACGCCTGCCATCGAAATGTGGACCACCAAGAGAGATACACACACACCAGACTTGTGTGACCCTGGGCGACGCTTTCACTCTTGATGTTGTGAATTTGCGTTGCATCCTTTGCGCATCCTCGCCTGCACATGTGAACACTCACGTGTTGACACGTGCACATGAAGAAAACCTCGAGCATCCGAAATCAAGCTCTGAAATGACTTCCCCGTGGCACTTTTTTGCACAGTTGTAAAATTGTCTACATCCGAGTGAAGTATGAAAATGACCTATTTTTAATGGTAATGATTTTGCAGCGGCCTCGCTTACCTCGAGGGGAGGAGGGGGGGATCACGATGCCAAGCTCAGCTAAAAATCACACCCAGGGTCATCACGGCACGTGCTGGGAGTGTTAGCTGCAGCCGTGGCACTTTGTCGAAAGCGGGGAGTTTTGCAATTTTAATAATTGCGTGCGGCGCTGCGATACCGCGGGCGAGGTTGCCTTCCAGAGATGAGACAATAAGGGAGAATTCGTACGTACAACACGTTGATTGCAACACGTACCACCGCACGATGAAATCGTACACGCAAATAAAATAACGTGCAAAGGATTGCAGGCGAAAAGCAATTCCCTCCTGCGCATGCACGCACCCACAAATTGAAGTCACTGTTATGAATATCAAGACACTGTCACGTTACAGGTAGCATTGTAACTTAAATCCTAATTGATATCCTAATTGGGGGGGGGGAGGGGGGGTCAATGCAACCCTTCATTCCCCCCTGGGGGTTTAACAAAACAACGAACAATATGCGGACAATCACAGGTGATTATTCTATAGCAGGGGTGGCCGTATGAGGCCCGCGAAATCATTTGGTGTGGCCCTGCCAAGGCAACCGCAGGCGGGACTCGAAATTAAATAAATCGAGGAGCAAACCTGGAAAAGCAGTTGCGAGTAGTAACATCATCAATACCAGCTAACATCACACGCCTCACCAAAGAGAAGCAGTTCCAGCCATCACATTAGGGGTAAGTTAATTAAATGTTTGACAAAATATAACGGGTTAATTTTTAAGTTGATCACTTTGTATGGCGAATGATGTTATAAATATCCAAATGGCCCTTGGCAGAAAAAAGGTTCCTCACCCCTGTTCTATCGGCAGGGATGTCGAATTTCCACAACCGGTTGTCGATGGCTAACTGAGATTATCACCGCCCACTGCTCATTTGGGTATCGGCACACCTGTGCACTCTATTCAAATGTGGGATGTGTGTGCGATGAAACCGGCTCACCGTGGCTTCCTCTTGTGTATTAATACCCACGGTGAACACCGCAACTTGATAGGGATTACTGGGCAGGGAACGGAATCAAGCTATAGCAAAACCGTAAAAACTGGAACCTTTATGCAAGGCTCTGGCCTGGTCTATACAATTATTGTTTTTTAATAGTCGAAGTAAATTCTCGAATAAACATGAAATGGTGCTCTCTCCAGTGATAATTTCCCGACCATGTCCGTCCAGTGCTCGCAAAGCTGCATTGGCTTCCGGTTGCCGAACGAATACATCATGAAGTGGCACTCATTGCACACCAAGTGGTGGCCACAAATGAACCACAATACCTTGCTGATCTCGTTAAGGAGCATAAATCATCATGCAAATTCCGGTCATCCTCGCAGCGGCTTTTAACGAGCCATCGGACAAAGACGGTCACGGCATCGCGCACTTTCAGACGTGCTTCTGCGGCCGTCTGGAACGCTCTTCCTTCCATTATTAGGAAGCCCCTGGAGCTATACACTTTCAAATCATTTACATTGAAAACGAATTTCTTTCGAACTGCTTTTGTGTTTAGATTGTTGTGCTTCCCCGCACCGCCAATTAGCACGGTTACCCATGTATGGTGCGAAAGACGTTCAACATACATATGTACTTTCCTATTCTAGGAGCGAGTCATTCAAAAGACAAGAAACAAGGATTTGGCTTCGCATAACAACAGGTGGGCGGCAGCATCGACTACCAACAAAAGCGCCGTTCTCTTACGAGGGATTCATGAGAGGAACGAGGAACGTGGAGTTTCAACGACTGGCTTAAGAGCACCAACAAAGATGAACTCCATCCCATTTCTCGTTTTAGCGGGGAGACCCTGGCATGTTTCATGTCGCACGTAACAATATTTATAAAATAGCACGCATGCATCACGTGCTTCGTGTTTATTATATGCATACATCACGGGCTTATATTGCACGCGCTGCACACATACATCAAACACATTGCGCCCGTGCATTACACGCATGGGACATTACTGTATGGTGCCCATTCACGGCCTGCATCTCGAAGAATGCTTAGCACGTGCCGACAACGATGAACTACGCCGTAGCAGCTTCAAACAACAATGAACATGATAACAATATGAATATTGCCATCTCTCATTTGCCAATATATTTCTAGATGAAACCCCCTTTGTCAGTGCCGCGTCGGCCGTGCGCGTTGGTGTGACCGTGCAGGACTTCACACACGTTGACAAGTGCGGGTTTATGAAAGGTGGGAATCTCAGGTTCAGTTCAGATACCACTCGCCACTGATGTTTGCCGTGATCCGGAATTAATTCTGGATGTTCAAAGTGCAGTGTACAAACCACTGCAGCAGAAAGGCCATTTTAAAGAGGTGAGTTTTCAAGTCAAGATTTTCATGGCTCTAAAGATTCTGATTGCCTTATTATCAGAGGACAACGCGTTCCATAGTCGTTGGGCTGCACTGGCAAAATCCCCTGTTGAGAGTGAGCGATTGTGCTTAACGTCGTTCAAAATGCACAACAACAACGACAACAACCCCTCACCACCCACTTCTGTCCACACAACCGTAGCGTACATACAAACACTCCGCTCGATGGATACCATCATAACGAGCCGAGGCTCGCTCATTCACTATTGTCACCTTCAACATCCGCGGCACCCTCTGTCGTTTACGAAGGGGTCTGCAACGTACGCCTTTGGAAAGGTCGGCGCTCAGCACACCAGTGGACCCGGCGTAAACAATAACGGAAAGAGTGAGCAGAGAAAGCGGCACAATTCTCGGAGGGTAAACCTAAAACAATGAAGAAAGACACAAACCAAAAGCGACGCAAAGCATCGTGCAAGGGGTGGGTGTTGAAGGTGGCTCATCGTGCAAGAGGGGAGGGAAAAAAAAACAGTATCCCTCACTCGTGATGCAATTCCGCTCGGCTCGAGGCACATGGGCAGGCATCGTGCCAACCGCGTTCCCTCCATAACTGCCCGCCGCTCATTTCCATTTCGCTTCGCGGTTGAGATAAAAAAAATCAATACGCCCTGAAATGGAGCCGACGACGATTTCGAACGCCGAGGTCCGCTCCTTCGTCGTATCGGAGCGACCTGAAGATTTTGTGATTTATTTTTTCTTCTTCTGGAAATGAAGTTGAGGATCAACGCGCGTGGCTGGGGGTCAGAGGCGGGGTGAAGAAGGCATCGTCACCAAGTCAACGTGGCTTACCCTTGCTCGGGGTCAACGGAGTCTCTATTCTCAAGGCGTCAACAGCTTGGCTTCCCCATCAGGCCGACATTATTTCTTTCTTTTTCATTTTCCATTGACCCGTATCCAAAATCTAGAAGCTTCAAATCAAAGGCGTAGATGGCGATACGAACCCGATTTTGTGTGTCTTTTTTGTGTTGTTTAAAGCCTTCTAAATAATGTACGAGGCAAATAGCAGCTTATTATGTTCGCATACAACTAACTTGAATTGTCATTTAGTAGCTCCGTTGCCCTGCTATCGCTAAAAAGAAAAGTGGCTTGTTTAAAGAGGAAACACCACAAGCTGCGCTACCACAGGACTCGGAGCACTGCCATATCTGAAAATCAAACTGTTATAGTAGGTAGGGCTTTTCAAGCTCAGGTCCCCTGATCCGACTCCACAAGATGTTCAACGCTTCCCATCATCACCATCATCATAAACCCATCATCCGTTACCCTCCATATGATCCGAAACGCTGCTGCTATGCTTCTCAGCCGTACCCAGAAACGAGACCACATCACCCGAGTACTCAAATCGCTCCACTGGCTCTTAATCCAATCCTGAATCAATTTGAGGATCGCACTCGCCCCATCTTCAAGATTCCCCACAGACTTTCCGCTGCCCGCCCGTCCCCTCTAATTTCACTCGACTGCTGTCTGCACACTCTCTGCTGCAGCAACTTTAAAGCTCTCTATCGGAGCCCCCCCAAATCAACCTTTGCCGAGTGGGAGGTTGCTCGTTTTCCTCGCCAAGCGACGGCGAGAGTAGGCGGGGGCCCTACCCGTAGCGCAGGGATCAGATTTACAGAGCAGTCGGTGGAGTACGATGGGATTGCAAAACCATTAGCCTCATGTCCTGTTGCTCAGCAACGCAACCTGTGCATGCGCGCATCGAGCACCGTCACGACCCGGAGTTCACAGCACGTAGACAACTTCCCCTATGGCCCTCGGTAGCATCCCAAACGAGCGGCCCGCACTCACCCCATTAATATCCCTAACGTCCGGCGCTAATGTGCAAGGCTCGAAAATACACAGTTTAACTTACTTTTAAAAGTGTCAAGGCTTTCGATGCTAATGCACGAAACTCTGAACCAGACTGACAACATCCTTAGGATTCTTGGAATTCATGATTAATGGGCCAAGGTCAGGCAACCAGCATCAAGAGTAGCATCACCACTATGGGTCACCCAGGCAGTGAACTTTATTTAGAGAGGCATAGCGCCTTCAATTGTAAAGACGTTGTACTCACAGCAGAGAACGGTAGCGGCACGACCGCACTCTACGATAGCTCACGCCAAACTGTGCCACACACGCCCTTCCGCGTAGGCCTTTTACCGATGACGTACACGTACGTCAAAGGAATGGGGAAGGGTTAAGCAACAAACATTTATAAACGACAACAGAAGATCTGTCAAATCTCTGCTGCAGGAGGACGCCACGCTCTGCAAGGGGACATGTGCGATGACCGCGCGGTGCACTCACTTGTCACGCCGCCTCCTCCTCCATCCTCTTGTCCAACACGGAGCTCGAACACCTTCGCGGGCGCCAGCTCGTCGTCGTTGGCGGCGCCGCCGCTGCTGCCGCCGACGCCTCCGCCGCCGTCGCCGTCGTCAAAGTCGAGGCTGTAGCTCACGGCACCGTTGGAGCCGGCGTCGGGGTCCCAGGCGCGGGGCAGAGCCAGGCTGAGGCCCGCGGGGGAGTTCTCCGGCACGGCGAGCGAGAAGATAGCGTCGCGCAGCAGCGTGGATGACGAGTCCTCATCGTAGAACGTCGGAGAATTGTCGTTGACGTCGATGATGAAGATGCGCGCTTCCAGGAGTGCGAAAAAGGGGTCCGGCTGCTCGGGTGTGGCGACGATCTGCAGGTCGAAGAAGCAGCTGCTGTCGTCGTCGTCGTCCTTGTCGCTCGTGCTGGCGTCGTCGTAGTCATCGTGCCCATAGGCTGCGAGTTGACGACCGACCCGCACCTTGCCATGTGCGCCGCGGCCCGCGCGATTGATGGGCGCCCGGTTGTCGTGGCCGCGGGTGACGTTCCTGGCTCTGCGATCGCCGCCACCGCCGCCGTCTCTCCCGGCCGGCCAGTGCGCCACGTTGTCGCCGCTGTGGCTCGCGCGCCCTCCGGCCTGGCGATTGTCGTCACGGCCAAGGCGGTGTCTGTAGAGGTTGTTTACGAAAGGCCCAGGGTGGGCTTTGTTGAGAACCTGCTGCCCAGCACCATCGGCATCACTGTGACATCTTGTGCTCTCGTCCCCCATACGCCGGTTATTAAACCCATCGCTGCCGAGGACGTTGTGTCCAGAACGTCTCCCTTTATTGCGGCCGACGGTGTTGTGCCGTTTGACATCATCGTTAAAATCGTCCCATTCAGCGTCCCCGGCAGCACCTTCACTCCGGTCTCCCGTGCCGTACGTGCGCTCGCGAGCGTCCCTCCCGGAGCGCTTGCCGACGGCGCCCTCGGAACGGAGCGAGCGCCGCACGCCCGTCGGGCACCCGAGCTCCCGGATCCCGTGGCCGACGTCCCGCCTGGCCCGCAATCCGGCCGGGCGGCCCGCGCCCTCCGCCCCCCCTCCGCTCGACCTCTTCGGCTCCGCCCGGTCCTCGCGCTCACCCAAGCGGTCCGCGCTCGGGCCGGGCGCGCCGGGGCCAACGTCCCGGCCCAGACGCCGTCGCCCGGCGTCCCGGCCGCAGACGAGCTCGCGGTCGAGGCGCGCCGCCCCCGTGTAGATGTCGCCCGTCCTGGCGTCGGCGCGGAAGAGGGTGCCGCCGCCGCCGCCCTCGCCCGCGTCCCCATCCGGACGGCCGCGCCGCTCCCCGGGCCCGGCCGAGATGATGCGGTAGTCGAGGCCACTGGAGACGCGCGACAGGCCCGAGTCAGAGCCCGCCGCGCCCACGAACGTGCCCGGCGGGCTCTCCTCGCGCAGGCGGTAGTTGACGCGGTAGTGTAGCTGCGCGTCGGCGCCGCTCGCCGAGCATGGCGACGGGCCCAGCTGCCGCCGGTCGATCAGCGCCAGCAGCGCCGGCAGCGCCAGCAGCGGCAGCAGCGCCGCGCGGCCGCGGGGGGGCGGCCGGGCCGCGGACGTCCGCGTCTTCGGGGGGCGGCCCGCGGGCGGCGAGCTTGCCGACGGGACGGGGAGCCGTGGCGGGGACCGCGCCGGTGAGCGGGAGGCTGGCGACGGCGGAGGAGCCGGCGCCGATGCGGCGGGCGAAGGTGACGGCCGTCGATTTGACTCCGACAGGGCCGCCGGCGGCGGTGGCGACGCCTCACTTTTGCCCGCTGGAGTTGCGTGAGATGATGCTGCCGATGCTGCTGCGGACGCCGCGGATAGCGCCGTTGGCATCGTTGCAGGCGTAGCCAGCACGGGCGGTGAAGGCTCGGAAGCCGAGGTCATCGACAGCTTTTGGGGGAGTGGCAGCGACGGTATTTGCGGAGTCGGTTTACTTGAAAATGACCTTGGCGCTGTCGGCATTGATGCCGGCATTAGTTGAAGCAACGGCCACCACAGCGACGGCGGTGGCTTGTTCAGCACAATTGGCGATGCTGCCATTGGACGCTCAGCCGGCGGCGTCGGAGGCAATTGTGCCAGCGGTGGTGGTGTCATCGGTCCTAAGACGGCTTGCGCTGGTGACGCTTGAGCGAGCGGTGGCGTCGGCTGTGAAGGAGATGCTCTCGGGGAGGGCGACGTGGGAGCTCGGGGGCTTTGAGCCGCTCCTGGTCGTTTCTGGAGCGTCTGGAGACCTCGGCTAAGGAGCGGTGATGCTGGAATAGCTTCCATGGCCCGGGGAGGGTTGCACCGTCAGACGAACGCTGCTCATGAACGAACGCTGTGAAAAACAAAAGCAGATAGACGGACCTTGAGTCCGTTGTCTTCATTGTCATCACAAGCCTTTTAAAAGCTGCTCATACTTTAGACATCAATCGTACACACAGTGTTGATACATTTTCCTTGCCAGAGGAATGCTTTTAAACACATGCACAGATGCATATTCAGGGCAGAGAAGACACTGTATGGTTCAGAGACATTGCCTCATTTTAGAGTGTAGCAATTGTGTCATCTTCAGCCACATTCGATAATTACCAGCATTATTTCTTTATATATATAAATACAAATTTCTTCTTTTTTAAGAGTCCAGAATTAGTTGATTGTAAATGGATATTAACATGCCGTGATGCCAGCAAGCAGCACACTAAACGCACTAAACAATGACCAATAAATTTCGATTTAAAGCTTTCGTGACTTGAGGGATTCATCTTCTTGATTCTTACGGTAAAGTGACGTAGAAGAGAAATAATACAAAAATAAAACATAATTAAATACATTTCTCACGACGTTTCGGCCACAACGCAAGCAGCCGTCCTCAGGTGAAGAACAGGGCTATCGGAAAGACAGCGTCTGAATGCTATCGGAAAGACAGCGTCTGAATGCTGTCTTTCCGACAGCCCTGTTCTTCAACTGAGGACGGCTGCTTGCGTTGTGGCCGAAACGTCGTGAGAATTGCATTTAATTATGTTTTTTAATTATTTCCCTACTACGTGACTTTACCGTAAGAACCAAGAAAATGACCATTCGTGAGTCGTCGCAAAGGATCCTCAGTGGCCGTCTCTCGCGCTCTCAATCCTACCCCTAACACGTCGCTCAGAACACCGCCGCTCTCTATCCGCAGATGTTCGTACCCATTTTAAAAAACGCAGTTCTTTTTTCCATTACATATATTGGATGTTAATATTCATAACACCCAAAAGTGTCATTTCTACGTCCGCTTGCAAGCGGCAGCGTTTATTAACCCCGCGGATTGTAGCGTCTCTTCTGAAGAGCGTGCGCAAGTCGCACACGTTTCAGTCTCGGCTCGAACGTAATTGCTGTCAGATTTCGTTTCAACAGGAGACAAATTATGTTAATTATCAATCACTTCGCATTTCTCTCAGTCTCTGCGTTGACGTGTATATTTAAATATCCATACGCCACATTTCCTGCACAATGTTTCATGTAATAATAATAATAACGTCACGAGCCCACACTCGTACAAAGATGTACTTTTAATTTATTGGGTACCTCAAGGCCAGGTTACTTATGTGGGATATTAGAAACCACTGTGAATCTAAACCACCGCATGCCACGTGTTTACCTGTCATGGAAATGAAAAAAAAAACTGATTCTGCCCCAGCTCCCACGCTCAGCAAAGGGCAACTGTGACACTTAATGAAATACATTAATTAATGCAAATCGGAACAAAAACAGACTTGGCCACAAACTTGCCAGACAATTGTGCGGTGTTGTTATTAGTACACGAAATATTATGCAGCGTAATATCATCGCACCTTCCGTGTTCACGCAATTATGCACTAACCGCCCGTGCACAAATGTGAATCACCACAAAAGTAATCGTGAAATACAGTATCATGTTATGTGTGTATGTTGACCTTCTTTTGCACCGTACGTAGCCAACTTTGCTCATCGGAGGTACGGGGGAAGGATAACAAACTAAACACCAAAAGCAGTTCTAAAGAAATGAGTTGAAAATCTAGATGATTTCAAAGTGCACAGGTCAAGTGGCTTCCAAATATGGGAAGAGCATTCCAGACGGCCGCAGAAGCGCATCTGAAAGCGCCGTGCGATGCGGTGACCACCGCCTTTGTTCGATGGCCCAGCCAGAAGCCGCTGCCGCGAGGATGACCGCAGTTCCGCAAACAAACATCTTGAACCATAACGACGTCAACCTCGATGGTGCTAAGGAAGCCGAACGGCGCTCACGAGAAGTCACAGCCACACGATCTGACGCAGAAGCTGCCCGACTGCAACCTTCCACGAAGCTCCTGGAGCCACAACCAGAAACCACATCCGCTGCACAATCCCAGGCGGATACGGATTAGTTGACGACGAACAAATTGAATGTTAAAAACTCTCCGGCAGAACGGGCCACGGCACGTCAAACGCCCTCAATGCCCCGCTTCACGGAAATACTCGAAGGATGATGGGGCCACGACAGCGACGCACACAACCACTCGGCTCTGCTCCTGACACCATCACCCGCCTTCTCGACCACCTCAATGTAAAATTACAGCTGCTGCTCTACATCAACATCAGCCGCACGGAGAGGGTAGAAGGAGTATGAACGTAAATAGCTGTGAGAGATCACACGAACACTCCATCAACCCGTTGCACCCGATATTTCTCGTCGGTGCCATCGTCACTGTCGGAGCGAGCCGTCTCTCGGGAGCCGAAACAGATGGCCCACTTGACTTGTCCCCGTGGCGCTGTAAATGAACTGTAACATTGCCCACCGGGGCTTGGATTGTGCATGCAGTCACACGCACGCGTGCACACACAAACAACAACAACAACCGCCATTCTCCACTAAGTGGTGGTCACGTCACCACGGCGCTTGTGCCAGGCTAGGTGCAAGTTGAGGCAAAAAAATTACAAAGGTCTGTCGGCTGTCGGAAAGACAGCCCTGTTCTTCACCTGAGGACGGCTGCTTGCGTTGTGGCCGAAACGTCGTGAGAATTTTATTTTATTATGTTTTCTTAATATTATTTTATTATTTCCCTTCTACGTGACTTTACACGAAAGAACCAAGAAGATTAAGCCCTTACGGTCTCTGTGGGGATTAGCTAACAGCATTTACCGCAGCAGTCTACAAGAAGGCAACGGTGATTATTGTAAATAATGTCAACTTTTGATTATTACTAAGCATTATTCTAATTGAAGACCCGAGGTGAATTCGGTGTCGGCAGGGGACTGCCTTTTTTCCGCCAATTTGCAGTGAACAAAATGGTTACACCGGAGAAGAGCTCGTGACTTCGACGAGACCCGATGGACCTGATGGTGTTGCTGTCTAACACCGGGTGGAACCCTGTGCCACGACTTCCCACGAAGCGGAACGTCATCTATTGAGCCTGGCAGCATTGTCTGTAGGCATCATGGAACCACCGAACGAGAGTTGGTTCGAGGCCTTGCGCGCGCGAGTTTCTCTGCACCACGGTGCTTACTCAACTGGCTAGACGTTAAAAAGTATTCAAATCACCGACAGCACCCACAGTAATAATGAACACATCAATTAATGGGTCTTCTCGATTGACAAATGGCTGTAAATATTTACGTATTATCATCATTACTGTAATTGCGTTCTCACCATAGCACTCTGTGAAACGCTCTAAAAACGATATTCTGTTTTAAAAACAGCCTGCCTCAGCAGCAGACCGTGCTTTCCCACCTGATGACGGACGCTTGTGTTGCGCCCGAAACGTCGTGATTTATTTTATTTTATACCTACGTGACTTTACAGAAAGAACCAAAGAGTATGGATTCCCGCAGTCACGAAAGCTTCAAATCAAGCTCTAAAAGCTCCGTGGCTTTTTGTTACAGGGCCACGGCAGTGGGAATCAAACCATCGACCCCGAGAAAGTGGCTCAGCGATTCGCATTCTCTAACCCGCCCGGCTGCCCAGCCGCCCGTAAAAAAATACTGATTTGTCAGCTATCGACAAAGTGCAAACTCTCTGTAGGGCGGAACATTAACAAATATCTATGGAGGATTTATTGAGGAGATGGAGTTTTCTGTATTGTATCGGAGCCTTGGTCTAGGCATGGTGCACTAATGCCAAGGCAAGCGTTTGGGTTATTGATCAATCACAAGCCTGACAAGACCCCTGTCTCCCACCCCCCCACTCATCCACGCTTGCAATCGCGGTGTCTACAAACTCCCCGCGCAAAACACACACAGATATTTCTCTCCTAATGCAGCGCTGCTCAGTTTTGCATGCAGGATCAGGTAACAAAGTTAGAGACAGCATTCACAAGGGACAGGGATTCACACATTGAACCTGACGGCCACTTCTGCCAGGTTTGATTACAGATCTTCTCTGTCAGCCAAAAAAAACGTCGTCCGTTATTCTGAATATCTCTCCCTCTGAGGCGCGGTCATATTGATGAATGCGTTGAGTGAAGTTGCTTCCAGTACTACAGTCTATTGCATACATTTTAAATCTATAGTCGAATGTGTTGATGGTTGTTTTTCCACTCTCTGTTCTCTCAGGATTCATACGGATGCCTATCGCTGTAGAGCAAGGCCGGGCTCCCTTATCCGCAGCTGTCTTATCTGCTGTCCGTCCCATTATCCTCGGATCAGCTCCGCAAATAATTCACAGAGACAGGTGAAAAAAAAACACAAACCTTAGGGAGCAATTAAAGCAGGTAAAAGCAAATGAAATGCCTATGTTATAATGTTGCAGGGTTTTTGAAAGAATTTCCGCTTATCACGTTTTCCATACATTTTCTAATACAATGGCAATTAAGTTAGCATTAAGATTTGTAAATAATGCCTGGCAGGGGTGTGAGTGTGGGGAGCAGTGGCGCACGAGTTTGTACGTTGCGTTATAAACCCCGCTACAG